CAACTGGTGGCGAACATGCACTTCAGATGTGCATGTGCGTACTGCAGAAGGTCACGAATTCCACTCCCCCCCCCCCCCCCCCGCTTGCACGCTTGCACGTGTAGAAGCGAGGGACTGCAAACAACAGGAAGCGATGATCGACACACAAGCACGCACGTACGTGCAAGCACGATTGAAACACACACACACACACACACACACACACACACCAAAAAAAAAAAATACTCAAACTCAAACTCAAACACAAACTCAAACACAAACACAAACAAACCAACAAACACACACACACACACACACAAACACACACACACACACACACACAGACACACACCCATTTGAGATGCAAGATGCCGCCAGTCTATGTACAAGGCTGCTGGAATTTAATTATGCCCGGTGTAGTCTGTAGGGTTCCTGCATCAAGCAATCCAAAGCGTAATAAGCTGTACGGCGATATGCAAGAATGGATTTCAGCATTGAACAGAAGAAGCTCTGAACTTTGCCAGCCATGCGACCACAACCAAGCAGTTGAAACTCAACTTGCCAAGCCTTGGATCGCGGGCTGTGCCATCCTCAGCATAGAAGGGCAAACATGCCCAGATTCAAGAATCATCCAAGAGATTCCAAGAGCACATGTCCCTCATCCTTCACCCTCTCCCAGCTTCCCCGCCTTTGCTTCAGCACGTCGTAAGCCTTAGCACGACTGGGCTTGGCATCTCAATGGTTATTCCGCTGAGCCTAGATATCCATCCATTCGAATGTCTGCCGCCATCTCAAACGTACAGATGACTGCAAGTGCTGCAGCCATGAGGTCCTGGCTCCTGCAGTGGGTGCGTGGCTAGCCACCTGTATAAGGGCAGGAGATTGGAAGGACCTAGAAGAGAACCGCCTTGTTGCTACGATCTTTTTCGAGTTGCTGCGCCTGCCTCAGGGTCCTCCCGCGTCGCCTCATGCACAGTGGTGCTGCTAGCAATGCACTGCAACAGGAGCCATGCGGTGATGCCAGGAGTTACTAGCTAGTAGCATTGATAGCATGCGGCGTGTGCTTCAAAATGGCCAACCCGCTTTGGCAGTCGCTGTCGCACAAAAATGCATGGTAAGGCTCGAATCCTGATCGATTCGATGGCTGCCCTCCCTCCCAGCACCCCAGTCTTCTCAGCACACTAGCCTATATTTTTGCAGGAATTGCATGCCCAGGCGAAGCACAAAAAGCCAAGCCACTGAGGCTCATGATGTCTGATGTTCGCCGGGACGGGCAGCACACACACACACACACACTGCCGTCGCTGGTCGTTGAAGAGCCGAATCGTGGCACAGAGCCAGACAGCTAATGCGCATGATGTTCGCTGGGCGGGCAACGAGACGGACAATGTGATGGACATTTGATGGAACAAGTACTCTTGCTTAACTGAAGCAAATGTTAAGCATGTGGGGATGACGTGGCATGCTGCCGGAGAAAGCGACAGGCGACAGGATTTTGACAAGAATGGCGTGCCTTGGCGGGTGGGTGTATGCATGGTTTAGCACGCCGACAAGACCCTAAGAAAGCCCGGTGTAAAAGATGTGCAAGCGGAGCCAACTGCTTCCGTCAAGCGCTCGAAGTAGGTAAGCTGTTGACAAGTGTCGAACCTGGATCGTTAAGCTTCACACCCCATCGCGCCCAGAGATTGCAGTGGGACTCACCACCTTTTTGCAAGGGCCGAACGCAGCGAAAAACGGTGTGACCAGCCTTGCGTCAGCTGCCTGAGAGTCTCCGGCAAATGCGGAACCAGGCCGTGTCCCCTCGCCCATAGCTGCACTGCAGTTGCCATGAGACAATGCCGACGGGCCACTGAGAGGCTGACACCAGTCCGGGTAGACGAGGGTGGAGACACCTTACAGCTACATCGCAAGACACGACCCCTGCCTCACATCACAGACTAGTCTCCACCCGGTGGGGTTCAGATTTTGCAAAAACCGAATGGCGGCATTCAGCGGCCGACTTCGCGCAAGATTGCTGCGGCCTGCAGAAATTGCGGGCAGCACACGCAAGAAGCCTTCGCTCTTGTGCGTCCCAAATTCAACCACAGCATCGATACATCTCAAGGACCAGCCAGGATAAAACCAATCCTACTTTCTTTCCTGGCCTCGGCCTCACAGGCACGAAGTTGGGAGCGTCGGCGCACGCATTTTGGGACGTTCGGATTGCGGATGCAAACAAAAAGTGAGAGAATGGAGGGCCGCACCTCCTGGTTCTCGCTGCAAGGTGCTGGAGGCCTGTTTTGGGCCCGAAGCGCGCTCATCACACACGTTGCATCCTGAAATACTTGACGCATCTTCGACGCATCTGCCCACCTTTCATCCATTGCCGATGCCTTTAAGTGCACGATCGGATATCACTTCTTTGGCAAGCGCTGCACGCGTAGAATCGACTCCCTCTGAGCGCAAGGCTCCGGGCCAACGGACTTCAAAACTTTGCTTTCCAAGCCTTCGGAAACCTCGCAAATGCTGAAGTCGAACCCTGGGATGCTTTAGACCTCTGAGGGCATGAGGCCCAGGCACTCAGACTCCGTCGGCTGCACATGCTCAGCCACCCTGCCAACGGCATGGACTCATTCACACCCATCACAAAACCAAAATCAAATGACGTATCACAACAACGACGATGATTGAGTCTTTTGTTGCACCCAACATCGCAGCCACACTCGTGGAATTTCGTGCTTGAGCATCTGCTTGTGATCGACCATGAACGTCAGGACCGTGGCGAAACACTTCGGCGTAACTGAGCTGTCGTGGCATTGCAGTATTTAACAGAGCATGGCGGCAACAACCTGGGACAACGCAAAACAATAACAGCACCCTTGGAATGAAATGGAGTGTATCCTGCAAGGAAAACATAGGATTGTGACACGGTGATGTTAAAAAACCTTTTTTTGCATCTTGCATCTCATGCTAGGGTACGACAGACTTGAAGCAGGGGTCCTACCGGACACCTCTAGGCTGAAAGTTCCCTCACTTGAACTCGGTCTCTTCGTTGATACACACTTCCACCACACGTTCGTTCGGCCCGAAAAGCGCTGCATGTCCGTAGCCATGCTTTGGGCTCCTAAAGGTGCCACTATACACTAACATCGTCGCGATAGGAATCCAAGTCACAACGTGCTCTTGCAGAAGTCACCACATCCTCCTCATTCCTCCTCTGTTCGTGAAAATCTGACACGGCTGGTGCTACCCCATATCATAAAACTTTGCTCTCGCCACAGACCCTTGCATATCTTCAGGATCTCAATATTTGAGGTCTACACTGGCATAGTTGTCAAACAAACATCCCATGCCCGGGCTCCAAAGATTACCAAGGCCCTCTTGCACGGAAAATTCCAACACTTTACCCTTTGCCGCGCAATACTTTAACAAACTGGTTGCGCCGGGCGCAGAGTTTAGGGCTTCAGCGGCTTAGTTCTTAAATTTCGCACATGCATACATGCATACATACATACCTACCACGTAGAGAAACACAGTCGCTTGCAACATGTGAAGGACTGTGCGACCAAGCAAAACATCTCAGACAGTGCGGCAAATGGCCGAAAGCAAGGCAAAAGAGAACGCCTGCACCGTTGGCCCGCCAGCAGGTAATACCTCAGGCCAGCTGGTTTTTTAAACACTGGAAGGGGGTTAAATGCTGTGTTGGTGAATGTCTGACACATAAAAACACGGTTGCAGATGTATGTTCACATGTCAGGGGGTTGATCGAAAGGTCCGAGTCTTTGGCTGAATTGATAATGGTTTATATTTATATAAAACAGTCTTAAGACGCAAAGCAATATGTCTGCGAAAGTCTCGCAATGGGTCCGCGAAAGGAAAGCGACAATCCTCGAAAGCCATTACGTAACAGACCTGGGGCAATGAAAAAACTGAAACTGCGCAGCCACTCTTGTGAGCAAGCTGCAATTTGTATACCCCACCTCAGCGTCAGAGTATGTCAGTTTTTGGAAATCGCAGTAGACTTTTCGGGAAAGATCCGTGAAAGTGGCCGTGAAAGATGGACCGACTATTCAGGGCCATGGCCCACGACTTGGGGGTCGCGGTTTGCCCCAGGCTCCATGGATCCTGAAACCTCAAACTCTCCAACCTCAATCTCAAAATCCAGAAGCCTTGAAGTATACATATTTTTTGGCACCCGCATTGCTCGACGAACCACTCTAAATATACATATGAAAGAACTTTTTTTGGGCGCCCGGTTTAGGGTTTCGGGTTTCCTTCGCGGTGGCCGCCCTACCTCAGCCTGCCCTCCTACAGCTCCTACTCCTACGCGGCGCTTGCACAGCCGCCCTACCTCCGCCTGCCCTCCTACCTACCTAGCCCTTTTTTTTGAGTATTCTTCTCTGGGAGAGCCCGAGCTTTTATGAATCATGTGCGTGTTGCACTCACATCTGCCAACAATTTTGGGGAGCGGCCGCTGATTCGCTGCTAGGCGTCTTCGATATATAGTTGTTGCAAAAAGGAACACCACATGATGATATGGGAGCCTTTGGCACTGCGCTCCTTTGCTCAAGCTGGGAGTGGTGGCCTGATGTGGCCCTCTACTCCGGGTGCCAGGCATGGTTGTGACGCTGTTGTGCTTATTGCTCAGGACACAGTTCGTGGCATACTCCTGAGGAAAGCCTGCCGCGCCCAGGCTCAACCGGGTGAAGGTGGAAAGTCAGCAGTGTAGAGAGCTTTTTGGAGTGAGCTCCACACCGTGGCGTGTCAGCTCCTGCAGAACATCTTCCTCCAGACCTCAAGATTCTCAAGACAAGCAATGGGGTGCAGCCAAGACTGCGACACTGGCAGGAGACATCTTCCTCCAGGAATGGACCATTAAGCCCGCAGCCAGAGTGCCGTGACAGCACGTCGCGTGGACGGACAGATGCCTCTTGCAATGCACGACTCAACGTGATGCATGAAAGGAGGTAGGGCATGTGAGGAGGAGTAAATCGAAGATGCTTGACACATTCAGCACTGATGCAACGCCATGTCGCTCTGTCCTCGGGGATTTGGCGGTACCACGCATGTGCTCTCACCTTGGAATGCAAGTACATGCAAGCTGGGCTAGAGGGGTACAGGTGTAATGCCTTGCTAGGTCTTTGCAGCAAGCCAGCTTCAGTCTGTTTTTCGAATGCCAAACCTGCCGTTCTCGGGGCCGGGCCTTCGCAATGGTGAAGCGTGCAGCCGGGTCCACAGTCAAGAGCCCTGCGATAAGCTCCTGCTCTTTCGTTTTCTCTGGTGACTCCAGTGGTGCCCTCCAGCCTGATTATTCAAGTAGCCAACCCTCAACTTACAAAGGCCGGGGGCATCTGCCAAATCCTTCACGGAGACGGTGATAAAGGACGCGGCTTTGTATTTGGCTGCCACGATTTTTTTGTACAGCGCCAACGTGTTGGAGTCCTCAAGGTGTGAGCAGTCAAGAAGATTCTCGGGGCAAGGAGACAAAACCAAGCCTCCATTGACAGTTCGCCTAAATGTAGCTCCGACCTCTCCTCGAAGGGCAAGAACCCACAGACCATGACCTGTGAACTTCAGCCGACCGTGCAGTGGTCGTAGCACATAGCAGCTTCCCCGTGCAAATCTGGTAGGGTGGCCGGTCATCGAGGCCGCGGCGAAAAGGATGACCCCACAGCTCCAAACGTCACACATCTGCGGAACATATCCTCAGACTCGCTTCAGGCAATGTCAACAGCAGGCAACACCTCCAACGCAGTACAAATCTATTCCGGGCGCGGAGCTCCGTCCCAAGACCATCTCCGGAGGAGCATAGCCTTGGGCACTCCAATCCGTTGCGAGGATGGGAAGCAAAATTGGATTTGGACATGTGTCGTCGACGGGGGGTCTGAAACCAAAAACCTACACTCCTTCATCTCTGATCTGACAGCTGACAAGTCTCCACTGAGGCCCCGAGATTCCGGACTGGGTTCCGGAAGTGCTCGAAGTGACTAAACTAACTGGGTCCAGCTCTGCTCAGCCCAAGACAGGGAGAGCCGCAGGCGGTTTGCAGGAGCTGGTTGTGGTGGAAGCGCTGCGCAACGGGCAGCAGCTCACAGTGAGAATCACGTGTGGCATTCAGATGATTTAGCGCCACGATCCTTGTAGATTCGAGTCGATGCGACGTTGATCACGAGTTCAGGAGCCAAGCGGAGTTTGCAACGTGGAACGCTACATCGCTACATACGATCCTTGTAGATGCTGTAAATCTGTAACTGTAAATGTGCCAGTCTCTCTCATCTCATGCGACCTCGACAGACTCTGTGGCAAAAGTCGGTTCCCACTGAGGCTGCACACGTTGCTGAGGCCAAAGTCCACAATCTTGATGCGCTTGTGCCTGAAATGCGGTCTCATCCGCCATCGACACCGATGATCTTGCTACAGGTAAGAGCTGTGCTGATCCAGCATGACATTCTCCGGCTTGAGATCCTCGTGTTCAGGCAACGCGCATGCTGGAGATATGCACATTGTCCTAAAGCCTTGGCATCCTGCCTGTGGAGCACATGTGTGTGCGTGTGCGCGTGTGTGCGTGTGTGTACGTGTGTGCATGCGTGCATGCGTGCGTGTGTGCGTGTGTGCGTGTGT